TTGAACCCAGCAACTTTATATCCGACTGCTTTGCAATCATTTTCGATGTGCGTCCATTGCAGAATGGCGATTTCAGTCTTGTTTTCTTTTGACGTCCTTGATAGATATTCGCATTTTGCGTAGGAAATTCCTTCGACGTTCAGCTGAAATATACTGAGTGTGCGGCTAATGGTTTCATTTCTTTGGCCCTTATTAATACTGTTGAATTTCTTCACTCTTTTTTTTATATCCCTCATAAGGACCGTTAGGTTTCTTTGCCCTTCTTCTTCTATGGCCTTCATAAGGACTGTTTGATTTATTTTATACTGGCTGACATGTCTGGTTCTGAGAAGAACCGTTAGATTTGTCGAGAGGAGAGATTGCTTTCGCAACGTTCGGCTGCCTGGTTACGACATTCGTTGTATTGTTAAGCTTTGGCATACTTCCGCAATGCGCAACAGGAACACCACGTCGTCTTGTCCCATATCAGTCATTCTGATGAAGTTACAGGAGCCTTGCTGCTGCCACACGTCCACTTCGAGTCCAATTTGGAGGAAAAAATAAGTCCTTTCTGAAGGAAGTAGAAGGTGATCTGCAGGAAGTGCCGACTATGGAATACATCATGGACCATTTCTAATGGATGATTTCAATCTACTTGCCGGATCAGACATCGAAAAGTGAAAAAAACGTGACTGAAAAGAACAGCGTGAACTGGATAAACAATAACTGCATTAAGTAATTTCGGGTTTGTGATAACAACGGACTATCTGTTATAAACACCTTCTACGAGCATCTAAGCGTCATCAGTGTACCTGGTTAAACGAAGCTTGCACAGAGAAGTTGGTGATCGATTTGATAATCATATCATCTGTCTTAAAACGCCCTAGAATGATGTTCACGCTAAGAGAGAAGAAGAGTTATCGACCAAACTCACCTCGTTATTGGCATCCTCAGCTGTAACCGAAGGAGTACGGTGTGGAGATCTGGCGACAGAAGTACATAGAGAATCAAATGGGAAACATTACCTTTTGCGGATGTAAGGGCAAAACTTGTAATCAACATCGCACGACGATTTGATAAAAAACTTGAAAAATGGCAGGGATGCCGGAATACATTAAATCCGCCCTGATAAGTGGACAAAGCATGTTGTGCTAACAGATGTCTGTCAAATTTCAATGGCAACGGAGAAAAAACAAGTGGACTGGAGAACGAATGCTGTAGTACCCATGTTCAAAAAGGAAGGAGGAGTGCTAATAATTAATAATATCGCATTATTACGCTATTGAGCCGATCGGGAAAAGTCTCCGCAAAACTGTCAGAAAGTTGGTACCGCGGAATAACTAACTATGAAATATGCGAAGAGTAGAATGGCTTCAGGGCAGGCCGGATCATTTCTGACAGATCTTCGGCTGACTCCAGATCGCTGAGAAATCATGCGTTCGCTCATTTGATTTACGCGTGCTGTGTAAACCTGGAGAGTGCCTTCTGGTGGATATCTCGCGCAAAATTCCTGCAAACATGTTGAATCGATGAACAGTCGCTGCGAACCGTATAGTTACTGTGCTTGCAGCAAGTGTTGTGTCAGAATAAATGGTGTCACCTCCAGACCTTTCAGTGATAGCATTGCTATCCTCCAAGGGTGCGCTCTGTTCTATCTCCTGTTTGCTTTGTACAAAGAATTAATAGTCAGTCGCAGTCAGAACAACGAGCGTATCAGCGTAGGAAACGTGTGGACGAGAAGATTGCTGTTTGCAGACGATCTGCTTTTGTTGACATTTTCTAAAGCTCTACAGCGCTCTTTGGAAAGGTTCGCAGCCGACTGCGACACGGTGGTCGGCATGTGTGTGAACGTATCTAAAGCGAAAAGCCAAGCCTAGTGCTTTCTCGTTCGTTTGCCTGTTGCGCTCTGCAAATAAATGGCGAAGCAGTGAGAAGTGCATGTACCGTTGAGTTACATTTTCTGGCGATGAAAAACGGGAAAAAGCAATCGACAGGCGAACTGGAATGGTTAGCGCCTGTCTAAGTGAGCTAGTCTGAACCACTGTGGCTACGGCATGGCTGAGATGGAAGACTAAGCTAGCAATGCTGAAGTCGGTCTTCATCGCGATGTTCATCTACGGTCACAAGTCGGGGACCATGACTGAAGTACTTCGATCTTGGGTACAAGCGGCTAAAATATACTTTCTGAGACTTTGTCTCA